AGAATGACACATCTCAACAACAGCCTCAATAGGAGGGGACCTGCACCTTTTCTCATGGATCTGTTAATGGGACCCTGTGGCACTGAATTAGAGCAAAATGGTGTCATGTCATCTGCTTCCATGAGGTATGTGATAAACTGGAATTGAAGTGCTCAGCACAGGGCCTGGCACACGGTAAATGCACAGTAAATACTAAAGATAATGCTAATACATAGCTGCTATGATTACTGAAACAGCTGTAGCCCAGGCCCTCTTAAGGTGATTCTCAGATGGATGGGTCAAGGAGCTAGCTGGTTCTTTCTGGGTCTGCTCCACTGCTCACAACACCCCCACAGATAAATGGACTCTCCTCTCTGGCCCTCCTCTACCCTGTGGGGACACAAAGTGCCCTGCCTATTACCCACAGGACTGGGCTGAGCCTCCCACCTTCCGTTCACCTTTTCACCCTTGGAGGGGTGAAAGAGCAGAGGCTAGGGTCAGGTCAGCCAAGGGAAGGGAGAGGAGGTGGGGCAGAGGAAGCCACCATGCCTGAGCCACACTCACATGTCTGTCCTCCCTCCTCCTATCTTCTGCATGCCGGCCAAGTGCTGGGAACAAGGGGTGCAGACTAAGTCAAGTGGGCTGTGCCCTCTGGTGTGTGAAATTCACTCCCCAAATATGAGGAATCTGGCTGAGAGGCTCCCACTCACACCTAGGGTCTCTCCTGCATGCAGATGAGCCTGAGCTCTCTGTGCAGTCCATCTGTCACCTGAAAGACAGTGCCTCCAACAATCTGAAGGAGCCTGGGTCTGCTGTCACAACCGAGACAACCATCCACATCTACTTCACAAGAGGCTCATCCCCCACAAAGTCGTACCCAGTGTAGCTGGCACCTTCCCCTCCGGGCCCAATTACCAATGATTGCCAGTCACAGCCATTGCCCAAACCACCTTGCAGCTCCCAGAGGAACTGTCCTGTCTAGGCCTCATTAAAGAAGGTCTTTGTGGGTCTGTGCCAGGACCGGGCAACAGAGACCAAGAAAACCCAGACCCTGCCCAGCAGATCTTAAACTGATAAATCTTTAAATCTGAAGACATGCAGGAATAAGTCTTTTCTTTTTCGTGTCTGAGACGTAGTGGAAGGCTTGGCTATAGAAAGGAAATACCAAGAAAGGTTCTCATAGTTTAGTTTATTAAAGTGAAACACACAATATGGGGGAACCAGAACTTGATTCCCTGTTAAAATAATACATTTGAGGAAATGTTTCTCCAACTATCACTGTAACTGATCAAGCATGTGACATTGTTCTTTTACAAGATATATAGTTCCTAACACCCATGCAGAGAAGACCGGATCGAGGACCTTACCTGTGCAATATGTTGTGTGGGGTGCCAGTGATTCAGTTGATTGCCTGTGACAAGCAGAGACAAAGAGCCCACACAGACATACATATTCAGTGTCTTGAGTTTTCTTTCAAAGAAAGTATTTCACACGTCATGTACAAATTAAACACAAAGTCCAACAAGAGTCCTTTATTGCCACTGAAAAGGGGGGAAATAATTTACAATCTCATAACCAAAGGCAAGAACAGAGCCCTAGGGCAATTTGTTTCTGCAAATGCCATAGTCCCATGCGTTCCTGCCAGTTGATGGTGCATCCCAGTCACTGAGTCCCAAGACAAAGGTTGAACAAGGTCATGAGGTTGTGATTATCCACCCTGGAAGAAGCCTCTTTTGTTCCCAGATGCCGGAAGTGCTGCCGCTCTCCTGCTTGGTCAGTAGATACACAACACAGCTGAATACGAGGGGCTCAGGACTCTAAATAGTGCAAACACTTAAAAAATATACATTCCAACCTCCTTGCTTCTACTGGCAAACAGAGCCTCAAAAACTCCACCTAACTGGAATATGAGTGTGCTCAGCCTCCCAACTTGATCCAACGAGGTGCAAATGGGGAGCATGGAGGTGATTTAAATGGCACCTGTCCCAACAACAATACAAATAAATGTTTAAAAAAAAACATGAGGCTATGTTAGTTAAATACACAAAACAGAGCCTGGAGTGGAGACACAGCTCGGGAGAGAAGTCCCAAGTGTAGCGTGAGCATCTGCAGAGCGCATGCTGAACACGTTCTTCTTAGGGACCATGGTGGACCCCTCCAGGTGAGACAGGGACAGACGCTTCCAAAAAAGACCTGGCAGCAAATACCTTAGGTCCTGGAAGTTTCAGAAGAATAAGAGAACAGAACAGAATGAGGAATGGTCTGCTGGACCCAGAAAACTCAAAGAGTGTGGGCTGCCGGGCAGGCCACACTCTGCAGTTGTTCCATGCCCATGGGCCAGGCTCAGTACCAGACAGTAAGAGCTACCAAGAGGTGGGCCAACCCAGCCTCACCCCTCAGGAAGCAGACTCCAAAAAAACAGCTAGACAGACAGACAGACAGACAAGCAGTATAGTTGGGTAAGTGCTAAGTTAAGCTTAACATTAGGCCCTAGCAATTTAAGAAACACCAGTGACTGCAGTTTCTTTTCCCCCCACCCCTTGGTGGCGGGGATTGAACTCAGGGGCTCATGCATGCTAGGCAAGCACTCTACTGAGCAACATCCCAGCCCAATTGCATTTAAATTTAACAGTTTCCCTTGAATATGGTATAAAAATGGAGGCCCATCTACCCGGAGCTCCTGAAAATCTGTTTGAGGAGGGGGAGAAACAAAGGGAAGACAGCAACAGGTACAGATTGTGTGTGAGACTGAATGAAGTATAGAACATAACATTTCATCACGGTGGACAATAAAAAGCAAGTCAGATATTTGAAAAATGATCTTATAAAAATATCTACATTAAAATTTTAGCCTGAAAGCTATAGCTTCAATTTTATAAAAAGACAATCTTTGAAAGGATCTGGCTCAGAAATATACAAACATTACACAACAGATACCAAAGTAAGACAGCTCAGAAAGCATCTGAGGGGATATTGCAACTGGCTTGTCATGAAATAGAATTAAGTATTCTTATTGCATAGCAGAAAATGAGGTCACTTCATTTGCATAATACTGCAACTTTTGAGATGAAGAGATGCCATTGGGTACTTAAGAGAAATAACTTTGGAATTCACAAGCTGATTTCTACACTGTCCAAATCAGTATCCAAGTGGCGTCTAAGCTGCTTCTAACCTTGGGCCTCAATTCCATTTCCCCACCGCAATCAGATTCCAGATATGCCACTGGCAAAGCCGCTTTTGCAAGCAGTAGTGGCCACCCCAATGGGGGTGGGAAGGGGGAGATGTCACCTACCATGTGACCTGCACTGACTTAAAGTCAGTCTGATGTATCCACTGTGGGGAAAGAATAATACCTGGGGGTAAAGAGACAGYAGTTTCAGGATGGCATCTGTGAGCAGCCACAGAAGAGTGGCTTTTTGGTAGTGACATGCCAGTGTCCTAGTCCCCATGAGAAAGGATGCATGAGGATGAAATAAACACGCCTCAGCAGCACTGCCAGCAGGGACAGCGCCTCCTAGGCAGGGAGATGCCAGGTGGGGCCAACAGCGAAAACCCAAAGGCAGAAAACACAGCTGACTAGCTTTCAGGGGAGGGATCTTTCTGGGAAGATGACACATAAAAACTAGCCTTCCCCATGTAAGCACAAATGTCTAGCTTCTTGGTGGTGGGAGAGGGGATGGGAATTCACCTCTCTTCTGATTGGAGGGCTTGTGTGAACAGCATACCTCAACCTCATTCTTACTACACGTACCGTCCCCCAAACAAGTGCTAGAACTTCTTTGGAGAGAGAGGAAGGACATTTGGAATAAAAAGCTTATTCTATCAACTTCCAACCCAGGGATAGGCAGAGCTCTGAAAATCACAGCCATCCCTGCTGTGAGACAAATCCCTGCTGGGTAAGACCAGAGCACCTAACTCAAGCATGCCTTGATTCCTCCAGAAACATCTTCTAGTTCCACCCAAGCTGTACTAAAACATCCTCTTACCAAGGCTATAAAATCTCCTGGGTACCTTGATGCTCTCCAAACATCTCACTGAAATAACACTTGCTAAATACTGGGAAGAGAAATTTCAACTACAGGAGTGTTGTACAGAAGTGCACAATAAATATACTACCTGGAGAGAGTCCTAGTCAAAGTGGTCAACTAGCGGGGGAGAGTCCTAGGTTTCTAACTGCAAGGGCAAGGGACAGAGGGGTGCCAATCTCCTGGAATATCTGCTTGGAAGAAGCACAATTGTATCAGAAAGCCAACATCAGGGTTCATAAAGTCCCTTGGCTTCCTGACATCAGGAAAGGTTAACCCAGCTCCTAAAGTGTGAGACTATTCAAGACACAAAATGTCAATGTCACAATTCCAACATGAATAGTTTTCTAGCTTGGAAACTGCATGGCTTTAAGGTTTTGTTTTTTAGTACAAATGACCCCCTGCACCCTCAAATATGCCACTCCAGATGCTTGAAATTCTATCATTGATAATCCTGACCAATGACTCAGCAAAGCTCTCATCAAACTCCTCTTTTAAAATGCAAGTGTCCTGGGAAGAGATCTCAAATCTAGGGTCCACTGCCATCTCCCCCCTCACAAGGGAAGCAAAGAGGGAAGGTGTCCTGAAGGCTGAGGCACAAACCCTGAATTGGAAGGAGAGCACAAGAAAAGGGAGAGAAGCATGAGACAGACCTGACCCTTGTCACAAAGTCCAAGGGCTGACACCAGTGGGTATACTCCTTGAAGTCCTTCATGGCCATCCCAATCATATGACCCCAGCCAACACAGAGACAGACTATCTCTGGGTTTGATGGAAGGGTGACCTGTTACTTATCCTCTAAATCAGAACACTTGTCAGTATAATTTGGTGCTGTGAATAATGAGACCCAAATGATAAGTATACATGGGGGCTGTCCTGTCCTGGGAAACCCAGAAGTCAGACCCCTTTCTGAGACCACTGTGGGCAGGGATTGAATCCTTACCACTTTGGTTTTTTGTTTTTGTTTTTTTCTTGTCTATTTTTTTTTCTCCAGTGTGATACCTGGGCTTCTCTGAAGAATTTGTTTTCCCTATGGAAGAGACACAAAATCTTCCAAACCCAGAATCCATGACATCAAAGATCAGAGGCCCAGATATGAAGACTGGGCCATTCTCACCTTCCCAGAGGAGAGCCTGAGGAAGAATGTCTGGCGAGGAGCACAGATTCTGTTTGCTCCCTGGCCTGGTACCCAGAGGACATGGCAGCTTCAAGAAAGGCCCAGAGCTACAGTAGTCAAGTCACCTGTACAGGTACGGTCAGAGGACTGCCCTGCCCTGGCCGATTACTCCTAGACATGCCCAGCCTATCCAAGTGGATCCCCAGAAGACAGCAGCTATGGCAGTCTTGGGGTTTCCATGGGACAAATCCAGAAGAGAGGTTTCTGTGATTTTGAGTTTTAGCATGGTGAAGGGATCAGTAGTAAAGAAATCCAGTGGGACGATCACACATCACACATCCCCACACCCCAGCCGAGAGAAACACCATGTTTTACACACACACACACACACACACACACACACACACGGTTCTTTGTTGTCCCTGTAGAAACAAGAAAAAAAAGCCCAAAGGTGCTGCTGAGGCTGTCAGGAAATCCGCTGCTCAGGGTGGAGGCCAAAGCACCTTGGGGGAGAGGGAGGTGGGTCATCCAAGTCCATGCTGCGAGAGGCTGCACCGGTGGGAGAGGGTGCTGCTCACACCACCTCGGACCCTCCCAGTGAGTTGAATCCGGTCGTTAGGGTCCCGCGGCTCCCGGTCACAGGCAGCACTTGCTCCTTCCTCCGTCTCCTAACAGTGGGAGTTTGGGTCACAAGGACTTGTGGATCACAGCAACACCTAACATGAAAGGGGAAGAAAGTGATCACCTTAGCTTCTCCAAAGTTATTCAGAGTCCCAGGGAGGACAGCCTAAGTCACAGCTGAGGGAAATGGGTACACTTTTTATCCAAATATTAAAGGGTTTGTGAACCTGGGCTCCCAGCACTCAGCTATTTCCCACTCTAACAGCCAAGTCCTGGCAAGACATTTAAACCCACGGGCACAGTCCCTCAAACACTGCAGGTGTTTTAAGACTCACTGGGCAGGTGGGTGGACTCATCCTACACCATCACAAAGATCATTCAGATCTGAGACATCTCAGCTAATCTGCAGGCAGCACCCTCATTGAGAATACAGAGGTCCTGCACAGCTCTGTACTTGTGTCACCACAGAGAAGTGATTTGTGTCTGATTTTAGAAGACACTGAAATGAATTAGGAAGAACAGAAGACTGACTTCATGGAAGCAAAAAAAAAATATTGAATATAACCCTAGCTCTGCTACCTGTCATCCTGCACTGTGGCCTTAAGCCAAGTCCAGCCACCTCCTTACACCTAGTTCCCACACTATTTAATGTCATCTTACCAAGAGGCTCTTCCAGTGCTAAATTCTTTAAATTCTTTCAGCACCTAACTTGGTAAAAGGTGAAAGAGTACGACTTGGTGAATCCATGTGTGTGACCTACAATCTCTCCGTAGTAGACTGGCACTACATGAAAGACACTGTAGACCAAGTCCTCTGCCACAGACACCAGCCAGTTACATGCTTAGATTCCCAGACTACTCTGCAGCTGGAAGTGCCAGGTGGTCCAGCTGTGGCCAATGACATTGTGAATGCAGGTCAGCCAGTGTTGCAGCCTGGACTTGTCCTCATCCTTCCTGGGATGCTTATGCAAGGTCAAGCTATGAGAAAGCTGGCAAAGGAAAATGGAGGGAGATACCTGGTTCTTCAGTGACAGTCTGGGTCACCAGTGAAACTGTGGATTTCTTCCTACCTGAGACAAATACACTTCCTTTCTTATACAAGCAACAGTCTGTCAGTTTTTCTGGCACCTGCTGCTAAACAAAATCCTAACTAAAACAGTGTCTACAGATAAGATGGTTATGGGAGCCTTGTTTTAACATATTCTCACAACTATAAAATGTTCTGGTTGAAGAGAACACTGCTAAAAGAAAGCCCAGGATACCTCATAAGAGAGATTCTGCCAAACATCCTTTCCTGGATAATGGTGACAACAAAGATGCGTGGAAGCAGAGAATCCTGAGTCTGGAAAAAGGCATGCTATATGACCTTGACAACATCTCACCTCCACCCTGGACAACTCTTTCATAAGGTAGTTTTTGTTTTTTGATTTGATTTTTTTTTTTGTACCAAGGATTGAACCTAAGGACACTTAAACACTGAGCACATCCTCAGCCCTTTTTATATTTTATTTAGAGACAGGGTCTTGCTGAGTTGCTTTACAGCCTCACTAAGCTGCTGAGGCTGGCTTTGAATTTATAATCCTCCTACCTCAGCCTCCCAAGCTGCTGGGATTACAGGCATGCCCACCACACCCAGCAGGTAACATTTTTTAAAGCAGGCTCCTGTATTGCTTTTTTTATGTAAGCATTCTCTTTTGATTATAAAAATAATATATTCTCATTATGGAAAATGTAGAACACAAAGAAAAAAATCTTTCAGCCTTTCACACAAAAACAACTGCCACTACATTTTTGGATTATTTCCTAGCTTCTAATTTGCGTAGTGATTATTTCTTAGCTTCACATTTGTTTACTGAGAGGGGTTCGGTGCCAGGCAGGCGCTGTGCAAAGCGCTGTACACATATTATCCCATTTCATTCTCACAACATCCCTCAGAGGCTCAGTGTAGTTTTGTTCCCATTTTACAAGTGATACAACAGAGGTTAAGTCAGACTGAATACCTGGTCCAGAGACCCAGGGCTAGCGGCAGAGCCAGGATTCAAGTTCAGATCTGACTCCATTATCCATTCCCAGAAGCAGTACCTGTTCAAGCCCACCACTGCCCCAAGGCAGAGCTACAGGACTGAACAGGGTTCACACTGCCCAGCTCCCTTTAACTGAATACCTGTCGCAAATATTTTCTCATGACATTAAAAATACACTTCTTGTAATGTTTTGAACAAACAACAATAAAAAAAATAAAATAAAAATACACTTCTGAAAAAATAGCCCAAAGATTAAGTATTTTCCTTATGAAAGACATTAAGTAGTTCTTGGTTTTTTGCTAAATAATTAACACTCCAATAAATAACTCTCTGAATCTTTACTTTTCTGAGAATGTCCCCAGACTTTAAGACTCACTGGGGCAAGGGATTGAACACAAAATTACATGCTTGTTTGTCTGCTTCCCACCTACATCTGGTGTAGGTAGAGAGTGAAAACAGGCACATGAAATATTCAGTACATGTAGGAAATTCTCACCAGCCATAGTGAAGCCCTCCTCTCTCATTAAGGCACATGTAGAACCAAGGGGAGATCCCACCAGTGTCTCAATGTCTTATCATAGAAAACAGCCTGCTCATCTCTCTACAATTTAAGAAAGTGATGGTGCTGATTTTCATAATTAGCCATTGGAACAGAATCGCTCTAGGAACAAAATGCTTCTAAAATCTTTCCTATTTAGCTAAAACAAAACAACAACAAAAAAACATAATTTTTTCTCATAAGATGAGAAAAAATCCTACAAAAGGAAAAAAGTGAAAGAAGTTCATTGCAATAGGAGCCTTGTGCTGAAAGAATGTGATAAAACCCTTTGGAGCCTGCCTGATACCAATGGAGTCCAGATGAGGACTAAATGAGAAAATGTTTATAAATATTCAGGATGAATATCTGGTACATTGTGTGTGCTCAATAAGTAAGTGTCTGGCCTAACTATTCCAGTTTCTGGAGACCAGATTCAGGAGCTGGGCTACATCGTGGCTATACATTTGCTTGCCTCCCCAAAGAACCTGGACTTTTACAATATCAGCCCTGATGTCTCCCCAGCCCCTGTACCTTAGCAAACCCCACACACACTCCACAAGAAATAGGTAGACTCCACATCAGCCTACCATTATTCCTACTGACCTCTTACCCCAATCCTGAGCCAGGGTAGTATAAGGTGTATAGCTTAGAAGTCAAACCCAAGACTGAATTCTGACTTTGCCATATGTTAGTTTTGTGGCCTTTGCCAAGTTAAACTCTCAAAGCTCAGTTTTATTATCTGTAAAATGGAAGGATACAGTCCCATTCAGCCTTAGGGTGGATGGAAAAGAAGAAGGTAAATGTGTACACTGTACCTAACACATCCTCCCATGGCACAGAGAGGGGCTCCCAGCAAAGGGCAGTTCTTTGTGTCATTGTGACCCACTGTTAAGGATTGATGGAGCCCATCTCCTCCAGGTGGAGGTCCAGAACCTGCCAATTCTCAATTTATTATCCTATAAAGATGTACAGGGCATTCCACTCATAACTCATGTGTACTTCATCTTGTATTTCCCCTGTTCTGTGCAGATAGGGCTTATCTTTCCAACTCAACTTCCGGAGAGCAAGAACTGTACTTGTGCCACCTGGGAGCCTGGTACAAAATAAGCCAGGAATGGCAATGAAACTCTAAAGTGTTTTGTGGCAGTGCAAATCATTTGGAAGAAGCTCCCTGAAACACTACAATAAGAATGCTAAGGCTACATTTAGGTTCACAGGGGACAGGTTAATTATCAGCATCTTTCCTGGGCACAGAGTGAAGGAGTGGTAACAATGTGACAATTACCTGCCACCCCAGGAGGAGGCACTCAGTCCCAAGTTAAGCAAGCTCACATCTCTCCTCCTCCCCTCCCCAGCCCAGGGTGGGTGGAGCTGGAACACAGACCTGCATAGCTCCGGCCAGTACTCATATTGGTTGGTAGCAGTGTCCACTTGTCCGTGACAGGATTGTAGTACTCCACCGAAGCCAGATTGCAGGATCCATCGTCTCCTCCAACCACATACAGGAGCCCATTCACTGCACAGACCCCTGGAAGTCAAACAGAAGTCACCGGAGACATTAGGGCACCAGAGACCTGGATTGCAGCAGATGCATGCTGGCTGCCCTGGAGGTTCATTCTCTCACACATGGTGGGACCATGGAGATCCAGCTCCGCAGGTCTGGGTTTGCTCAGAGGCAGCACATGCTGCCAACAGCCACTACTAGGCTCTGAGGATCCCCTATCCTAATAGTTATTTCTCTCACTACCACACAGTCCCTCAGATGTTCCCTCCATGCCTTCTGATAGAGCATTGTGAGTTCTCTCAATGAATACTGAGCACCCAGCACAAAGACCTCCTAGCCCCACAAGCTGGAGAACAAAACAGTTGAGTGATTTTGTACATGTTACTAATTCTCTGCTTGTAAGCTTTCCCCTGTGTGGTGCTAATGGCAGTGTCTGTAACCCCTTCACAAGACAGAGTTCTAAACTCACACACCATTCCTAGGGTCCAGGCTCCCCTCCTATCCTTAATGGGATTACTTAATGGGATTAGATTACTCCTAATCTCAGAGTAAACCAGTTGCAGGGCAAGGTCTCAAGAAGTGGGGACTAAAGATTAAGAACGTATAACTAAGATGATGCCCTAAAAAGTAGTGTTGGTATCAGTGTTGGTGAGGATACTCTCAATATTAGTGAGAGAATAAAACGGACCACCTTCCTGAATGCACAGGTGCTCCCTCTGACTCAAAATTTCACTTTTCACCTTTTATTATAAGAAATAATTTCAAATATGTGCATTGATTTAACTACAAGAACCATTTACAATAACCAAACTACTACTTAGACTCTAAGACAAGAAAATAATGTAAACAAATTCAGCGTCTCATAGGATGTTGATGAAAGATGGTGAAGGGAGCTTTTAAAAGCAGTTATAAAACAGTGTTATAGTGTGACTCCATATTTGTTATTAACAGAAATATCTATATGTGAAAATTTGCATATACTCCTGTTTACATTTAAACTTTTTCTCAGACTTCAGATCCTGCCTTAGGGTCTGTAATTCCCTGCTCATGTGGCTTAAGGTCAAATGCCAAGTTAAATCACGGCAGACTCAGGCACTGAGTAAATCAGTAAACTTCCCCTCCGTTTATACTTCCAACAAGTCAGCCACAAATGGGTTTAGCAAACAGGTAATGTGAGAATGAAGGTAATAATTCTGCCTGAAAGAAACCTGTTTGTCTTTCCAGCCTGGGAGGGTGGGCTCAGCTGATGCTTTCCCAAAGCACASAGGCATGACCAAAAGGACAAAACTCCAAAAGGAAATAGCTTGACAGGACTCTCAGGCTCCAGAAGATACACATCTAAACCCCCTAGGGAAGGAACAGTGGAAGGGAAAGAAAGGACAAGAGACACAGGAAGTACAAAGAAGGGAATAAAGGAAGTGGTTCTCCTGGAGAACAGTCAAGGGTCCACCTTTCCCTGTAAGGAAGGAGACAGTTGACATTACTTCTGTCAACTGCATGCAGTAAAATAATCACCGTTCATGGGGGGATGGGGTGGGGGGGGGGATGACGACCCTTGTGCATCTAAATGCAGAGACTTGTGGCAAGTATTTTGTGTCCTGAGCTCTCCCCTCCCCTCACCTAGAGCCTACCCAGCAGATGGATACTCCCTCCCTATTCAGTGTTCGAGCTCAGCTTGAGATGCTGAGAGTCTCTCCCCTCTTCCTCTCATGGAGAGCTGTTACATGCAGAGCAAAGAGGCCCAGGACTCCCACGTCCCATTACCTGCATTGCGTCGGCACATGTTCATGTCCGCCACCTGCTTCCAGGTGTTTGTTCCAGGATCGTAAACTTCAACACTCTTCCTCACCAAGGGCCCATCATGACCGCCTGTGGCATACAGCTGTCCGCTGAGCACCCCAACCCCTGAAAGGCAGAGCGGTGTCCGGGCCTTAGGCTGGCTACAGGAACCAGACACCATGAGGCTTGATGTCCAGCCCCAGATGGTCACCACCAGCAGGTGACTTGGGGAGTGCTGTTTTACCTCCCTGGACTTCAGTGTTCTCATCTGTAAAACAGATACAATGATACCCTTCCCGCCTCCTCAAGAGATTGCCAACGTGGAAATGTTGAAATATACGGCAAATATGACCCCATTCCTGTTTTAAAAACATAAAAAAAAGACTGAAATTCACCCAGACATTCAAAGTAGTTATTTCTGGGGAGTAAAATCACATTTCTTTCTTTTTTGCCTACCTATAATGCCTTGCCTTCCAAAACTGTTGCATTACTCAGCATTGTAATAATCGAGTCAAAGGGTTAAAAATTGAAACTAGCCATGCAGTAAGTGTGCTAAGATCATTACCAAAGAGACCTCCCTCATAGTCTTGAGCGGAAGCTGTTTTTCTGCCCACTTCTCTCCTGGATACCAGAGGGCATTAGACCAGGCACTGAGCTGGCCAGCCTGAGGCATCATTTACAAGCTTCAGTGCAACCTTTTAAAATCCTTTAATACAAGTCAAGGAGACAAAAATCAATAAAGGAGGGTGGTGGCACCTAGAAAGAGCAACTGGCCTGGTGACTGGGACACCTGGGTTCTAGACCTGCCTCTAATTCCTCCATTGGGTGATCCTTTCCTTTCTGGGCCTCAGTTTTCCCATTTATGATGGAAGGGGGATGGAATGGGTCAGAAATGCCTGTGGACTACTCCCCTTGATGGACAGGCTGCATCTCCAACAGCTGGGGGATTTCTGAGAAGGTAGGTTCTAGGGCTTCACTCCCAGACACACTGGTCAAGAGCCTAGAAAAGTTCCACGGGTAATTAGGATGTGCAGCCAGGTTTCAAATTCAAGAACTAAATTTGTAAAACATAAACTTCATATGGACAGAGAACTGTCTTATCCTTGCCTTGTTCCCTGTGCCAGGTAGTTTAAGTCCTCAGCAGACATTTGAATGACAAAGTGTGTAAAATTCCCTTCAGCAATTAGGTTAGCAAACTAGTGGTTCCTAGCAATTGCCCTAAACTAACAGCAGATGGAGCTATTGTACTGGCGATGGCTAGCTAATGGATGCAGGCCTAGCAAGTCAAATGGGTTCCTAAGCTCCACCTTCCCTTCCTCCAAGGTGGGCAAGAACTGCTACCCCTGGAACCCTGAGATGGCCTTCTTTCCCCTAAATATCCTCTGGTGTTGCCCACACCCTGCTGAGGAAGGAAGCAGTCTTCCAGGCACTCGTGGGCGGCCTGATCCATGAACTCAGATGCAGAGGTTTCCCGTATCTAGAGCCCAGCCTGGGTACCTCCAAGGGTCTCAGGCACCTGGAAGACAGGGCCTTTGGTCTCTGGGCCCTCAGCCACCAAAAAACACCCCTAAGACAAGTATGTGGGTTCCCAAGTAGGGGGTGAGACTTGCCAGGGGTGAAGTAGCCAGGGCGACAATAATCTGAGGAAAGAGTTCATTCCCTAAGTCAAGGTCACTGTATCTCCTAGGGACAAAGGTATTGGGATGACATAATCCTGGGTCTTTTTTAGCTAGGTTTAAAAGGCAATATCAGAGCTTAGTAACATCCACTCAACAGTAACCTTCTAAGCAGCTTACAGACAAAGGTTACTTCATCCACATGGATGAGCGTGAACTTTCAGAGGCAGGTGAGAAGTCCTAGTTTCAGTAGATCTGCCTCAGCACACTTTCCCCTGGGGAGCTTCCTCAGAACAGCCGAGCAGGACAGTGTGCATAACCTGCTCTTCTGAGCTGTTCATACATGCGTGAGCCTTGAGCACCTGCTCTCATGCCTGGAGAACAGGAGAGGACTTCTGGGAAGTATAATGTATGGACTCTAAAAATCCTAAGTTACTACAGGAGTTTTATGGAAGGGAAGAATCATGGGATCTGTTGAACTGGTCCTTAAGGAACATCTGCTCCAACCCACTCATTTCATATCTGAGAAACTGAAGATCAGAAATGGAGGGGGTCTTATCCAAGGTCACAGAGCAAGTTAGAACAGACCCAGCACTGAAGCCCAAGTTTCCTAACTGCCAGGCATCTGCTCCACACTCAGGAAGGGCTGATCTGTCAGGATCCGCAGAGGCAAGCTCCTGAAAATAGCACTCCGAACAGGAACATACCAGAGGGGGTGGGGGAAGAGGGGAGAGAGAGGAGGGGGAGGGGAGAACAGATGGTTACTTTGAGTTGTGGCTGGGAATCAGTAGCCACACACCAGAGGAACTGCATCCATGGCCTCTGCCTACCCCCTAGTCCTTTTCCTGGGGCCTCTAGGAACATGGAGAGACCAAGCAGGGAAAGAGGGACTGCTGCCACAGCTCCTGAAACAGCCCAAAGGACCACAGAAGCACTAGTGGAAAACCACTTGGAAGTCATCCTCTTCCCATGTTGGAAGGGGGTAGATGTGAGGCAAAGGGGGGATGAGGGAGGGACACAGGTTTATTTCCAGATGTGAAGACTTCCAACCTCAAGACAGGGATTTCAGACAGGCAGGCTGGGCTGTGTCCACTAAAGTCTGGGCGCTTGTCCTACTACTTCACAGGAATGAGCCTCTCGTGATTAATCTAGGGGTTAAAAGACAACTCTGGAGAGAGAATTCCAACTCTGGCAATTATTCAACCCTTAGTAGACTTACTTCCAAAATCTGGTAAGTGGAATCAATATTATCAATATTGTAATATAACCAATATTGTATCTGCTGACTAAATAYAATACTGATGCACAGAAAGGGCCTGGTCCCTAGTAAGCCTTCACTTTGAGGAAATATAGACCCTCCATACAAACAGGGTGATGATAAAGAACATTATTTCTTCCACTCTCTAGCAAAAGGATCTCTGGGAAAGGTGCACTTACAAGCACTGTAGCTGCAAAGGTGCTAATGGGATTATATACAGTAGAAGGAAAAAAAGAAGAAAAGTAAACTAAAATGTAAGGTTATGTCACTGGGCTCCAGACCTGGCTGTGCGCCAAGCAGCCAGTCTGCACCCTGAGACTCCCCTACCTGCACCACTGCGGCGGGTGCTCATGTCAGCCACATATGTCCACTCGTTGGTCGCTGGGTTGTACTGCTCCACGGTGCTCAGACACTGGCGGGAGGCCCCATCATAACCCCCAACGGCATAAAGCTTCCCTGGAACAGACAAAGAGGATGAGGATGGTGCCAGGGACGCTAGCAGGGCACTGAAGCTTGGCTGACGCCCACCTTTAACCCATAGGGCACTCTTACTTTAGACTGCTGGGCCCCCTTCCTCCAGAGGAATGCAGGCTTATGTCCCCAGCAGGGGAAACCGTCTTCACATTTCTGCCTTCTACTTGCTCCTAAGTCCTGAGCTCTCTAGAAGCAATTCTGAACCTCGTTCTAAATAAGAACTCCAAAGACCCAGTTGAACCTATGACTTGGCACCACCAGGCTCAACATATTCTTGCTGGTGAACTAGGTTAATGCTTCTCTAGAACAGAGCACCTGTACTGGATAGATGGAGAGCTGGAGGGCTCTYGGCGATTACCAGGCAGGCTAACCATCTGGCTAACGGCTTCCAATAACAGATGGGATAAATGTGGAAAAATCTTCTTCAGTGAGAGCCCAGACTCGAGCACATAGCCACTGTTTCTGTTCTTTCCATATTTTCACAGGCAGAGCTTGTGTGTGGAGTGCACTATGTAGATTCTGGGCTGAGGTGGCTGGACTTTTGTGCAGACAACGCTGGGAGCTCCAAGCCATGCATGAGGGCCCTGAAGCACCATCATCTATTTTTAAAATAAAAATACCACAAAGCTATTACCCAGTAGCATCATTTCTTCCTGGGGCGGGGGACTAGGAGCAAGATGGGACAAAGGAGCAGAAAATTGGTATTCTAGCTGCTTGACAACAGAGATTTGAACCTTTTGGATTTAATATTTAGTCTTAGAATGCGATGGGACAGCCCTTTCTGTAGGGGAGAGGAAGTAACCCTACTTCACCTGATCTTGGGGGGCGGGGAGCATGAGTTACAGAACAAGGATGTTGAAAACCAGCTATAGGCTGAGTAAACACTACCAAGTGCAAATCTTTTTGACAGGATTATTTAATCAATACATTTTGGGGGTCATTATATGCTTATATAAGAGTACAACAAAAATGAGAAAACCTGAAATAAATACTTGAAGTTAAATTTTTAGGCTCAAAACTATACCCTACCACCAGGGTTACTGATGTATGTAAGAAATGTACAATTATTCTTCTATTGTCACTGGGCCTGGTTTTGTTTTCTTCCCCAGAGTCCTCTCCACTGACACTTCTGAAAAAAATAGACCTCTCCTGCTCGTTCAGCCCTCACCAAAGTCAAAGCAAAAAAACACAAAACCAAACACAAAACAAACAACAACAACAAACCAGGCCACCCACATGGTGTGGCTGGTTCACTGTGACCYTTCCTTAATACACCCCCACTCTGCTAGGGAGCTTCTGCCTACACTCTGATCCTAATACTCTCTTTTCCTGAGCAGAGATTCTTCCAAGAAGCCAGGAGAAACTATCCTAATTTCCTCCATGTTTTCTAAGTGTCCTTCAGACTCCACAGCGTGCAGGAGATGATGCCATTTAGGGGAGCAAACCAGACAATGCACAGAGCTGCATTCCTGCCTCCACACCTAGTCCCACTGCTGCCCCAGGTGACTCACAGCCCACGGAGCTTCACATTCAGGAGGGGAAAGAAAAGTGAGTTCCAATCTGTCCTCCACCTCCACAGGGCAGGCTCCAAGACAGTGCTTCTTCCACACACAGAACATGCTCACAAAAGCCTTTGTCAAGGGGAGTATTCTAAATTACTACCATTAAGGCACCTCCTCTAACCCCCACCAGCCATTCCAACCCTGCATCAGCTGAAAAAAATACCTACTCAAGGTATATCCTTGACTCTATTAACAGGGATTTGCTATTTTTAAGCCCTGGTCTATTGTTTCATATTCCTGGCTGAGGAACAAGGGGGGAATGGGAAGGTGGCTAGACAAAGCACTTAGATTTGGCAGACAAATCAATTTCTGTTCCACCAAGAGGATGAGACTGCAAGAAACAATTTATCTTGGTTGGCGGAAAAAAAATCCTTGTAGTCACTTAAGATGACTTGTTTTGTGTGTTAAAATAGCTTTAAATGAAAATTTAAACTATGCAAACCAGTACAGAAAAAGAATATTTCTATTATTGTCTAACTGCATATTCCACTCTGCCCAAAGCATGTGTACATGGGCGTGTTCTTGCTGTGTGCATGAGAGAGAGAGAGAGAAAGAGAGAGAGCAAGAGAGAGAGAGAGAAGAGAGAGAGAACACACATCTGTGTACACGTCCAAGTGAAGAAATCTTCCAGTTGTCCCCACGCATCAGGACAGGCTAATCGGCTAATGACATCCCATAAACTCTAGCCTTTTTGGTTCAAAAAATACTTTATGCCTTGGCATGTTGAATTCACACATATTTGTAAAACTCCTACCCATTAGCACTTGTTAATGGTCTGAAGGAGCAGAGACAGCACAGAACAGTGGAAGAGCATTGGGCTGGAGCTGGGAGACAGGCTGAGGACTGGCTGCACAGTTCCCTACCACCGCAGTGTGCAGCTCATCCCTGAAACTCTTTGGGACTCAGTTTCTCCATCTGGAGAGAGTGGAGAAACTCTGAGTTCTGCCTATCTTCTTCAGAAGAGTTTTGGGAATAAAATGAGAGATGGATAATTTACAAACAACTGCACACTGTCTGGCCAGGCCCCCAGCCAGCCTCCTGCCTCACCCCGCACACTTCCAACTGCCCTGCGGAGAGAGTTGTCAGACCGGAGAAGAGGCTCTGCTTAATGTGCCATGTTTGCACATATGAGAAAAATGTTCAGTAGGGGGTGGGGTTGTGGCTCAGTGGTAGAGTACTTGTCTAACAAGTGTGAGGCGCTGGGTTCAATCCTCAGCACCATATTTTAATAAATGAAGTCCCATTAACAACTAACAAAATATTTTTTAAAAATTAATCCAAGAAAATTAATCCACCACAGTGGGGACTCTGGATTCCTACCCTCAGCAGAGCTGTTGACAAGTGGACAGAGACAGGATGGCATTTCCTCTGGGCTCTTCCTGTTTTCCCCAACCCAATCAAACACCTCTCAGCCCTCGGCTAAAGCTTCACCTCCCTCGTCTCAACCACCCTCTTCTGTTAAATCAGGAACAATGGCTCCTAACTCAGCAGTGATCTGAAAAAACGGAGCCATGTTAGAGCATCGAACATGATGCCAGACCCAGCACAAGGTCTGGGGGCCAGGGTAGGGCTGGCCGCCCATTACTGCCTCCTTACCCTCCACAACGCCCACACCCACACTGCTGCGCCGCGTGTTCATCGGGGCCACAAAGAACCACTCGTTGGTCTTGTAGCTGTAGGCTTCCACCGACGCCAGGCCTGGGAGACAAGAGACTCGTGAGATTCTGCCGCACCAGGCCTCTGCTGACAGTGGGGAGTCCAAACCTGGGGGCTGCAGACCTGCATGCATGGCCTGGTGCCACCTCTGCCTCTCCATGTGGCCCTTGACGACTCCCTGAAACACATCTGCAGTGGCCACCTGAGGGGACACTAAGACTTGACTCAGAGGACGGGTTATGAGTGGACGGGGGTGTGCCTGAGCTGTTCTGCCAAGGTAAATAAGTCACTGAACTCACAGAAAGGAACGCTTTGATTCCAAGCAGAGACGTGAGGCTGCCTCATCGAGCCCCTGTTCCAACCCCCTTTTCCCTGGTCTTCCTCTGCCTCCAGAGCTAGAAAGTTAAAAACTTGTCTTTGAAGATTCCCTTGCAGCTAGGGGTGACCAAGTCAATGATATCTAAGTAGAAATCTCATTGGGATTTTTGAAATAACCTTTACTTTTCTGAGATAGGTATCACTCTTTCTTGCTTCTTGTTACCTGGAACACAAATGTATTGACTGGAAATAGAACAGCCACATTGTGATTAGAAGGAAAAGGCCCAGAGAATCTTAGGAACTTGGCCCCAATTTCCTTGAGCAATTAGATCAAGTCAGGAACTCCTTTTCTTGTTTCTCAAAAATAAAACAAAAATTCTTTATTTTAAAGCCATAGTATAGTTGGACTTTCTACTTAGAACCAAAAAAGCAGGTCCTAAATGAAGCAATGTACCGCTATCCCTTCTGCTCAATAAACATAGCCTCTAGAAAAGCTAAAGAAAATGGAATTTGTGAAGCAACATGAAGAATGAGAAACATCACCAAATTGTGAAGACATAAATGAAACTTTAGAGAAGTAAAAAATATTGTGTTTTTACTTTTTCTTCCCTTGTGGCTGAAGAACACCATTTTATTTTAGTGAGTTGGTGTCTACACAGACATCTACCCAGCAGTATGAGTACAGATGAGATCTTCTCTCCAAGTCCATGTCTTCTAATGGTTCAGACTGAAATTTTTGAAGCAAGGTAAAATCCAGGAGCAAGGAGTCCACCTGTGGTGGCCCAGTCTAGTGAGACTCAGTGGGGCAGTAGAAAGGGCAATGGACAAGTCTGGCTGCCAGTGTGGCCTGAGCCAGGCTTCTTCCCACTGCTGAGCCTTTGTTCCCTTATTTGTTCAGTAGAAGGTGCAGACTAGGCACACTTGAGTGTAGGCTCCTTCCCAGAGCCCTAGAGATCATACATGGAGACTTTCATAGTCTGTATGAATATGTTCCTATTCTGTGGGGGCCTGGCTATGGCTCCAAAAGCTGGGTAAGGAAGGATGGTGCCGTAGTTTGGTTTCTATTGCCCCCAAAGGCCCATTGTTGAAGGCTTGGTCCCTGGATCAGTGCTATAGGGTACCTTCAGCAGAAGGGGCCTTGAAGGAGGTCTCCGGGTCTCTAGGAGTGTGCCCTTGATGGCAGTGTGGGTCCCACTTCCTGTTCCTTTTGCTGCCTGGTGATGAGCCAGGCAGGTTTGCTTGGCCATGTGCTCCTTCCATGAGGTGCTGCCTCACCACAGGCCTAAAGCAAAGGGTGACCTGAGCAGAGACTTGACCTTCAAAACCATAAGCCAAAATAAATCTTCTCCTTATAACTATCCCAGAGGAAAGCTGAGTAACACGGATGTGTGTGTTGCTGCGACAGTGCTGCAGAAGGACAGAGGTCAGCCCAGCAACTGGCTGGACAAAATGAGGCTGCATGGAGGGTGTACCCAGGTGGGGATGGGGAGGGAATAGGTCCTGGACCTACCAGTACTGCCATCGAAGCCTCCCACCGCGTACAGCAGGTCATTGAGCACAGCCGCACCCAGTGTGCTCCGGCGCTCCTGCATGCTGGCAATGGACGTCCACTGGTCCTTCACACCGTCATACACGTCCACGGTCCGCACCCGCAGGGAGCCATTAAATCCGCCCACAGCATACACGTGGCCGGCCATGAACACCACACCTGAGGCACAGGAAACCAAGGCACGAAGGTTAGGTCAGGTGGCTGGCTGAGCGTGTTGATGCATGATAACGTGGGAGCAGGCAGGCAACACATAACTCACCACAGAAGACGATCTCCGACTACAGACACCTGGGGGTCACTGTGGGGCTCACTGGATTTCTTTTCCCATTTGCTTTTCTAATTTTGCTTGATTCAAGCAAATGCCTGAATTTGCTTACTCTCCCAGCTACGAAAGAACTGACCGCAGAAGGGACAGCCCAAAACCGAGCAGGTAGGGAAGGCAAGGGAGCCTGAAACACACAGGTGTCTGAAGAACTAAGGAGCACTGTGTGACTTCCAACACAGGGTACTAACCAGCCAGGAAAACGCAGCTGCTGGACTGGGGGACTCACCGGCTCTGCATCTCCTGGATGGAAGCTCTGCAATCTGATCCCACCGGTCCTCCTCAAAATCATAGCACTCCACGCTGCGGATTGCCTTGGGTGCTTGGCCACCAACCACAATCATGACCTCCAGAAAGACAAGGGAACATTAGCTGGATCTTCCTAACACCAGATTAATGGGTGATCTATCCCTGGTTCTTCTACATGCTTAGTGCCCAGGGGCTGAGCGTTGTCTGAGCTCACAGTTACAGAAGTACGTATGTGAAGATGCTGCCACAAGTCACCAACATATATGAATATTAAAGAAAAAACTAACCAGCATCTTCCTACAGAAACACAACCACAAGTTCTATATTTCCAAAATACCCTAGTTGGGGCAATGGTGGGGGTACATTAAGCTTAAGCATCCTCCGCCATCTCAGTATCCTGGAGGACTGGGATGGGAAGTTCAATTTTACAGTGAAACAAACTTGAATATATTTTAGAAGAGTGCAGATTTGGATGCATTAAGAAAAAATTATTATTTAAAAGTATTTCTAAATGTCTAGCTTGCAGGGCACACTCATTGCAGTATAGAAAAAAATATTTGTACAATAGTGTATGTGTGATGGTTATCACAAAACTTATTTAACTGATGATGCTTTGAAAAATGGCACTAACAGTGGCTATTTCCACAGGTACAGCAGTCACTATCATATCGGGCAGTGTTAAGTGTGTCGTCATTCACTTGTCACCATGACCCTGTGAGACAGACATTATCATCCACGTTGACAGATGAGGGGAGTAATCTCAGAGAACAAGGCCCAAGGTCACACATGTAGGGGTGGCAGAAGAGAGGCTAAAACTGCAGGCAACCTGACACAGGCCTGAGGCTGGCCCTACCCCCCCTGTTCTGAAGACTAGGTCCGTAGCCCATGAAAACACAGGTCATTGCATCTGTTTGTCAAAATGTAGGTCACATTTCATTAGTGGGTTATGAAATCAATTCAGTGGGTTACAACTAGTGTATTTTTGTAAACAGGACAGAAAATACCATAGCAAGGATACTATGTCATGAAACAGCCAGGACACCTGTGTGTCTTCCAGATGGCATTTCCTACTGCAGGACTTGGTCAAAAAAAGGAAAGCCATCGCTAAACTGTGGAACCAACCRAGATGCCCTTCAGTTGATGAATGGATAAAGAAAATTTGGTATGTATACAAATGGAATACTATTAAGCATTAAAAGAAAATAAAATCATGGCATTTGAAGGTAAATGGATGGAGTTGGAAAATATAATGCTAAGTGAAGCTAGCCAATCTAAAAAAAAAAAAAAAACCCAAATGCCAAATGTTTTCTCTGATATAAAGATGCTGATTTACAATGGGGTTGGGGGGACAGCATGGGTGGATTAGATGAACTCTAGATAGAGAAAGGGGAAGGAGGGGAAGGGAGGGGGAATGGGGGTAGGAAAGAGGGTAGAATGAGATGGATATCATTACCATAAGTACATGTATGAAGACATGAATGGTGTGACTACTTTGTGTACAACCAGAATTATGAAAAATTGTGCTCTATATGTGTAATATGAATTGTAATATATTCTGCTGTCATATATAACAAATCAGAATAAAAGAAATAAAGGAAAGCCATCACTCTGACTGCATTCATTAACAGAACTGCAGTGCGTACCTAACTGTGGCACATCCCCATTATTGAGACTCTTGTCACATGCCACCACTAAATAAGAATTAAAATACCAGAGCTAACTGTAGTTTACACATTTTAATAACTGGGCACATTCACACTGTTACTGTATGACACAGTACATTCAATTGCACCCCAATACATTTTCCTGAGCAGAGAGAAAAGGGTAGAGGCCACAGGCAGCCAATACAAGCCACAGGATTGTTTCCTGCAACCTGTCTTATTCACCCAATGGTTCCCAAAATTCAGTGTGCATCAGGTTCACCTGAAGGGCTGTGAAAACACAAACTGTGGTCCCTCACTCAGAATTTCTAATTTAGCAGGTCTAGAGTAGGGTTGATAATATAAATTTATAACAAATTCCCAAGTGATGCTGCTGCTCTGTTCTAGCCTTCATACTCGGAGAACAACTTTTTTAACTCATGGCCTATAGGAATTTCATAATGATACTAATGGTATGCCATCAACAATTTTTGCCATTACTAATAATCATAGTGCTTTTTACTTTCCCACAATGTACTCTGGGGGAGAGGACAGATCATCAAAACCTGCATGAGCACACAGGAGCACAACTCTCAGATGGACATTATCTACCATAAGGGGAAGCAAAACCAGATCAGACAACCATTGCTCAAGATCAACCATTTATGCCCCAAGATGCCAGATTAGGCTCATGCACTGCTCACATGGTGACTGCTGATCACCAGAGTTAGCCCACCAAATGTGAGTCATAAAACTTTCAAAGCTCAGAAATCAGTTCTAACTTCTAAAGCATTCCACAGGAACTCGGGACACAGGTCAGGCTTAAACTACTACTGCTTCCAGGCAGGCTTTCTTCCATGCCTCAACTCAGAAGGTCCCACTGCTCTGTGTCAAGAGCAGCCTTTTTCAGAGAAAAGCTGGATTCTTCCCATCTGTGATTCTTTGCTTACATAGGCAGCCATAAGCAGGTCCAGGGTATACTAATGAACACAGCCTCTTAGCAAACTTCAGATTATGCCCAATGTACTCCTCCAGAGCAGAAAGGCTAGTCCTGTGTTCATAAGCATACCTAGAACTTGCATTGTCCTAAACTAAACTGAAGACAAGATGTTGCAAGGATTTTCTTTGAAATCTAATTTCTGGAGTTGAGAGGGAATAAACCCAGATTTTAGTTTTCTCTCTGCAGGATGCCACCCCTCGCTCTTGCATACAACATTCCATCTACTTTAAATATTCTTCCTTTTTTTGATCCTTTTGCTTTAACACCTGCTTATCTTCCAGGTCTTAGTTTACATGTCTCTTCTCCAGAGAGGGCTTCTTTGACTCTGTGTCTGAGTTGCATGTCCCTCCACAGAGTGCTCAGCTACCCTGCGTGCTCTGCCTTGTGCTGTGACCATTTAGTGATTTGTCTGTCTTCCCACCCAGACAGTAAACCCTAGCAGGACAGAAAATCTGTCTGCATCAATTACCAAAATAATCCAAATAATGTCCTTATATTGTCAGGTAAAACTGAGGGCTCAGATGTTTCTTTGAAATTAAAAAATTAATGAATAAAAAGTAAATAGCAAGGAGTCGAATGAAAAAAAATAATCAAATGAAAAAAAATATAAAACTGGAATGTCACTTTCTTTGGTTAAGATGTGTTGGAACACTAGATTACAATTCTGGCAATATTGAGGAAAACAAATGATATAAAAAAGGAAAAGTAAGAGATTTTCCCACCTTTTGACTCAACCATCAGAACAAAGCATTACTTGTTCCTTGCACAAAGTATCAAGCTTTTTCTTTAAATTAAAAAAAAATAAAGGTAAAGCTTTCAGGAAACCTCACCATGTCCTAGAAACTGTCTCCTGCCAAGTGAGGGGGCACATTCATACTGGAGAAAATCCATCACTTGTGGAAGAACTTTCATTGTAACACAGAAACAATATTACAGAAATGGAAAGTTTCTCCTGTTAAAATAAAACCTGAGTACAAGGACAAAAATAATACAGGACACATTTTCAAAATAAACTTGCCTCTGAGCTCACAAAAACACTGATGAGAAATGACTTTTAACATTCAAACCTTGTATGATAGTCTTAAAAGAGGAACTGTAAAGGTTTTGGTAGAGTAGGATGGTCACTTCTGGGGGGGATGGTGGATCAAAGCAGCAAGGAGAAGCGAGTATACATTCTGCTTCTTTGCAGGTATAAGAAATCCAATTTTTATGGCAGTTATTGCAAGAAGCCATTTGTACAAGGAGCACAGTATCCCCCATTGTGGTGATCATGCAGAGTATAAAGAATAAATTTCCTATCTTGACTACTATAGAGAAGTTGTTTCCATAGATACCTGATCTTAACAACCAATTAGGCAAATATGAGTATTCCCAAAGTCTACATGTGTTACATCTCTGAAATTACAAACTTCTTGCTGCTTAAGACCACAGGCTGTTAGGGCAAGGACAGACTTAAACCATTTTCTCTGGGGAGCCCTCACCCAGGCCCAGGTAGTTCAACAGGGATATCCCTTTCTTTCCCCAACACTGATAAACCCCAGCTTACTAAAGACTTATGAGGTCTTCAACAAAGACAATGGAATCACATCAGCTTCTTTTTTTGATCACTATTTTTWAAAAAGTGACAGGGTCTCACTATGTTGCCTAGGTTGGCCCTGAACTCTTAGGCTCTAGTTTTGTCCTCTGCCTCAGCCTTCCCAGGACTACAGGCGCCATCCATCACACTTAGCAATGATTACTATTTTTTAACATTTTGTATAAGCATAATTGGTAATATAGGAATCCTAATAAGCCCAAGAACTGGTTCTGGTCTAACAATGATGCTGGACTGAACATCATTTAATCACCCCTGAGGTCTGCAATGTCCTTGGGAGTCTTGCTAGTTGCCTCAGGGTCCTGATCCCAGGTCTCCACTGTGTTAAAGGCTGCAGACATTCTGGTGCCTGGAAAGCTCTGGTTTGTAGAACATGAGTGGTTATTCGACATCTCTCAAAGAAAACACCCTCTCACTTCGGAAGGTAAAAGGGACATTTGCTTTAGTGAGACCATGGAAAGACAACCTGATTTCTTAGAAAAGAAATTCCAGAATAACAAGTTTTTCATGCATATATAATGTTCTTTTGCATAGATCATCCTGGTTCTACCAGTATGACTGGGATTGAAGGCATGTTGGTCTCTCCTCACTGAAATGATAACCACTCTGTCTAAGAACCATTAGGTAGGAGAGACTAGTCAGGAAAAGGGACAGTTGGTGAACAGAACAGAGCTGTCAAGACCCTAACCCTGGCCTAGGGCTACAGAAGTAATTGGCATCTCCACTCAGGTGAAAGGAGCAACCTGGGTTCTGCACAGTTTCTTCACAGGGCAAGAGCAGAGTATGTCCAAACTCTATTCCATGACCAGCGAGCTGGGCAGAAGGCAGGCCCAGCCAGTCGGTCCCTCGGGCCAGGGCAGGAAG